TTAACCTGGACAGACAAGCTCCAGTAATTACCAACATTTACCAGTAATTTATTGAGAGAATCCAGATGTCAGTCAGAGGCAGTAGTAGTATTGCAAGAACTGACTCTTTCTCACCAGTAATTAATGGTGTTTGAAAGGGATGGTGTTTTAAACTAACCTGAAACCAACAAGGACCCTGCTGAGAAAAGCAGTCCTCACATAGCTAACACATATGTGCAGGTAATTGAACTCAACAGAAATTAGCAACGATACCCTGATTTTAACATTACACATTTAAGTTTTTAATATTTTTACAATGCTAGAGTACTAATCCAAGACTGAAAATAATACTAATAATACTAGAAAAGCCCTCAATTAATCAAATTGAGTTGACATGTGGGAACTAAATGTTGTAAAAAATGTTATCCTGGAAAAACAGTGCTTCATTACTTAAATGTTATGTGAATGAGATTAAATAGATTTTGTGGGATATGGAGTGTTCTTTGTTTTATTTTCTCTTTATCTTCTTTCTTCCCAAAAGCATGAACACAGGTAGCATGATACTGTATCTAATGTAGATTTGGTTCATGTAGGGGAATTTATTTATTTATACAGAGTGGTGATGTCAGCGATCCGCTCTCCACATCAATGAGCAAAATTCAGAATTCTTAAAACCTTATATAGGCCAACAATGCAAATCTTTACTTAAATGTAAAATTATTTTTGAGGACATGTAGCCATCAAATGTTTGGCATATTGGTTTGAAAAATATCTGATTCACTTGATTAGTACATTGATATGCTGAGTGAAGGAGAAAAGTCAGAGGCCAAAGAGGGTTGTCAGGCTGACTCGTCTTTGGCGACAAAGGGCAAAAATCATCTCCAAGGTAGCCAAAGGAGACCAACTTAAAAAACTAATTGTCTAAAGAAAGGCAGGAGAAGAAAGAAAAGAGAGGTTTGATCACAAGATTTGTGAATTTAACTGGAATTTAGGGTAAAACAGCACAACATTCTGTATAGCAGTGCTGGGAGCTTTAAGTTTCTGTAATGTTGGTTATGTACCAGAGAACAATCAGCCAATGAACGATAAAGTTTGGCTGAAACATTAAAACATTAACATTTTAACATGCTTTCAAATAACAACCTAAATGTTGTATAGTAATGCTCATGTGTGCATGAGCCTCTTAGCATTTATAGTGGCATCCAGACATGATGATTCTGATCTGTATACACACCATGCTGATCACACTTTACTGTCTTAATCTCTTGTTAACTCATTGTTAACAGTAGATTAAATGTCAAATCAGCAGTTCACCTTCCATGGTCATTCATTCACCTGTGTTGGTTTAAAGCACCAAGAACCACACTTGTTGAAAGAGTACGATCTGAGGATTTGCTTTGATTAACTGAATTGCTGCTTACTGTATGTCTGTTGCAGTTAAAGTTATCATGTTAACCAGAAGCTCAAACATGAGGTGTACTTATGTTACTGTACTTCTATGCAGAAGTAACTGTTTATACAAACTCTCACTCACAAGACTTTTTTTTCTACCAAAATAAAGCATTATATGATAGTTTAAGGACTTCCTTGAATGAAACAGAGCTCAGGGCGACGTTTTAGTTTGATGATTCACTGATTATCACTGTAGTTGCCAGTTATTTTTCTGTCACTTAAATGGCAAATTCTCTAATTGCAAATAATGTTATTTCTTTATCCATCAAATTTATCAGGATGTAATGTTCTTGTTGATGTCTCAGGTTGTCTTCTAACCAGAAGGTTGGTGGTTCAATTCCCAGCTTCTCTAATCCACATGTCCAAGTGTCCTTCAGTAAGACATCGAACCCTCGGTTGCTCCCAATGATGTCACCGGTTTGGGAGTGTGAACAGTCAAATAGTGTAAAAGCACTTTGAGTTTGCTGCGATGTGTAGAAACATGCTGTACAAGTATGAGGCCGTTTATGATGCAGTATGTTGTCGCTCCTACCAGCCAGGATGAAACTCTGTATGCCAGCCTGCCACAGGAACCATATGTCATTTAAGTCAAAAATTAAAATAAGATTTAAAATAAGTGTAGCCAGAAATCTGATCATGAAAAACACCTTTTTTGATGAGAAACCCAGAAGGAAAGTTCACACTTAGCTGCCGTCTCCTTTTGGGATTGGGGGTGAACTGGGCAGAGTGAGTTCCATGGTTTCAGCACATTTCTGATTGAAGGACATGCAGCTTGTTGCAGCCTTGGCCACCTCACCCTTTTTTATGAACACAGTGTGGCAACATATTGATATCGCTGGGTTTGTATTTGCATTGTTCAGGATGAGTCAGCAAGTCTGAAATCCTCACATTTCACTGTCCAGGTCGAAAAGAGACAAAGACAAGTCGAGGCAGAGTGTTGGTGACCAGGTTTTATTGTGGCAGGAATGTCAGAGAGCACAGTGAGTCAACATCAGAGTTGCCTGAAGGTCGCTGCAGGCCACTACGCAACACAGAGGTGGACAAAATAACAGAAACGCCATCTCAACAGTTCTGGTGTATTACAGGTGTTCATTTGACTTGATGGTCGCTGGTGGGGACACAGAAACTGTGGAGGGAAGTGTTAACTGTTAACAATGAGTCAGTGCTGAAGGTCGGGGTGGTTGAAACATTTATAATTGTTTAAAATATACCAGAGTTTTGGTAACTATGACAAAATACAAATGATTTTAGGATTCAACCACATGAAACATTTCATTTGAGTGACTTGTATTGAAAGTCTGCATGTTACTGTGTGACCACGATTCCACTTTGACACCGATGACGTTCTGATGTTTTTTTAGACTTCCTCTTGCTGCACAGTGATTTTCAGTTGGAGACAGATGAAACCTTTTGAAAGGATTTTGGTCAACAACCACAAACTGCAGTGAGCAGTGGCATCGACAGCTCTGACAGATTCAATGAACAGGCTGGCAGCATGAATTCTGTTTGCTGCAGTGCTCAGTGCTGTGAGATGGCTTTATGATTTGTCCACCTGCTGTATCTCCCTTCATTAACCGATACATTTCAACAGTTCACGTTTTAAACAGAAACAAAGAAAACCTTCTCACACACTGAGTCTCTCTAGCTTAGACTGTTTTGGTTTGTCTTAAACATGATGTAGCTGAGACTCAAACAGCACAGAGTGAAAATGCATTTGAAAACTGAAACAAGTGAAACACAAACTGTACACAAATATATACATACAGATCTACACAGTGGAGTTCATGTCTGGACTAAACATGCTTCTGCAGTTAAACTTCCTTAAACGGCCAAAACTTTGCTTCACTTCGTGTGAGGGAATCTTGCTTTTTGATGTAAACATCAGCGCAGCCTTCATTTAAACAACACAATGACAACAAAACACACAAAACCATTCAGATTGTACTCATGCCTGACATTAGTAGTAACGTCTGAGACAACTACTGGTAACAGTTCACATTAAGACTGAGCAGGAGAATCACTGCAACAAAGATTAACAGTTTGATCTGAACAGTCAGTGATGAGCTGCCACATTAACTGTATCAATAAAACAAAACACAGCAGACTGAGTTTTTTACCTTTTACCGTCAGTGAGAACATAAATATACTACATAAAAAATACTACTTAAACGAGTCCTGATGCTCTGAAAACAACAGGGTGGTGTCACACTGTAGAAACACAAGAACAACAGTCAACATTTAGCAGCCGCTAACTAGGTCGACTACAGGTGACATGTCCAAACGCACCTCAGACATCTTTGGCGATGTCAAACAGCGGCCCAGCTGTGGCTGACTCGCCGGCACTTTGATAGAATCAGGAGGAGCGCAGCCAAGTGTCTTAACCCAGACTTAACTGAACCTGATCCCAGCCTTCCCAGTAAAAGAACTGGTCTGCTGGAGCTGCCCTTCAAAATGTCTGAACACGTTAAAATAAATGCATCAGGTCAACATTTGGAAAATCTGTCAGGTCTTTAAAAATAAATTTTAAAAAAGTCTCAGGAGGAAAATCTAAAGCTCCAGATTGATAAGAATTTACACACTCTTTTATTTTGTACCTCTTATGAGATAAGAGCAATGACAACATAGGTTCCATCTACTTCTGTGCAGCTAATCACCTTCCAGAAATATTAACAGCCCAGCTCAGAGGAAACTGATCTATAATGCGCCTCCTGAACAAGCAGCAGAATGTGACGTAACAGGTGAAGCTTGACACCAGTAACAAGTTCAGTGACACTTTGTGTGTCCCCTCATCGCTAAGCCTCGTCTGAAACCGACTTCTCATGGTCAGTCCAAACCGACACGTAGCTGGCCTCTCGCTCTCTTGGCCAAATTTTCATGGTCAGTCCAGACGACACCAAACCGACACGTAGCTGGCCTCTCGCTCTCTTGGCCAACTTGAATATGAACAAACAATGACAGTATTCAAAGTGTAACAGCAGTTGTGAGTTAATTTTCAACTAACGAAGGTCTGTGTAAGCTTTTCCTTCACCAGGCTTAGGTC